CCCTTCCCCCCCATAGTTTCCCAGTACCGTCAGTCATTTTGTTATAGTATTACCTTGGATGTTCAAGGTCCATTATATGAGTGAGAACATGTGATATTCTGATCTTTGTTTCTGTGTGAGGTCACTCAGTATTATAGACTCTAGTTCCATCCAGGTTGCTGCAAAATTCATGATTTTGTTCTTTTTTATGGCTGCGTAGTATTCCATCGTGTATATGTACCACATTTTTTTAATCCAGTCCTCTTTTGATGGGCAGCATGGTTGTTTCCAGGTTCTTGCTATTGTGAACAATGCTGCGATAAACATACGTGTGCAGGTATCTTTTTTATAGAGTGATTTGTGTTCTTCAGGGTATATTCCCAGTAGGGAGATTGCAGGGTCATATGGAAGGTCAATTTTTAGAGCTTTTAGGAATCGCCACACTGCTTTCCACAGAGGTTGCACTAGCTTACACTCCCACCAGCAGTGTAGAAGTGTTCCCTTTTCACCACACCCTCTCCAGCAGGAGGCTTCATTTTTATTTAAACCTTTGAATGTTTACATAGATGACACTGATCACATAGTAGTATAATTCTTTTCATGTCTTTTTCCTACATTAGACATGTATATTCCTGTAGTCAGGTACCAGTGAAATAGATACATATAAATAGAAAGAGATGTAGATAAAGATCTCTATATATGTATTTGTACATGTTTCCATTGCCTAGAAGGGTACTGGCAAATGTCTTTCCCCAAAACATTTTTAATTGAAAATAAAAGATGACATAATACTGTTTTTGCTTTCCTTTAGGAATCAAAGTTTAAGGAAACAGGGGTGATCACTCCAGAAGAGGTAAGTGTTGAAGATATGCTGAAGCCTTTATAGTTTATGATTATATTAAACTAGGTGACTTTTCTGTTTTTTAAGAAAACATCTTGAGCTTTCATTTTGATTTGAGTAAAATTAGATTTTATTATTTTAATCACTATATTAGTGATTTGTGGGGATTTGTACTTCCCATAGAAGGAAAGATGTAACTTCCCTCTCAGTTTGCCACTTCTCATATTTCTCTGTAGTTCCTCTTTATTTAGAAATGAGGGTGAGAGAGGGAATGGAAAAGAGTCCTTTGGTCACTTATCCTTCATTTGTATTTGTGTTGTATTGTGTGCACAGTGAGCTCTGTAGTTTTTTCTATGTCTTGCCTCTGTCTGCACCAAATATAAATTTTCACGCTTTCCATTGGGAAACTTTGCTCACTACTTAGATATTGTTTTCTTAATATTCAGCTTACATATTTTATTCCTACATACTGGACACTGATTTTTTTCCATCGTTCTTTATACTTTTTCTACCAACCAAGTAGTGTTGAAACTGCTTAATGCTGGAACTAAGTTACTTCATAGGCCAGTTGTATTTTATTTAATATAGAATTATGTTTTAAGGAATCATTTTACGTGTTCATCACATTTGTATAATAAGAGATCTCTTTTGTTTAGGTAATTTATTTTGTTGTCCCTAGAGAATAAATACTGAGCTAAAAACACTTTTAGACCCCAGTTCTATGAATAGTTATGGTTTTATCAGACATTTTGTTCTTAATAAAAGACAAAGCATTTATTTAAGCTTGATCTTTACCTCTCACTGAAAGCACCACTCATTGGCAATATATCTTTATTCACTGTTTTGAAAGAAACGTTTTGAAATAAGCCATGTTGTGTGATGAAGGTGCTGCATAAATTCCAAAGCCTCAAGCCAGAGAATTAACTGCTCTTTCAGTTTTCTTTTCCTTTTTTTTTGAGTTGGAGTCTCACTCTGTCACCCAGACTGGAGTGCAGTGCCCCCTCCCGGCCACCTCAGCCTCGACCCGCTGGGCTCCGGCGATCCTTCTGCCTCAGCCTTCCAAGTAGCTGGAACTACAGGTGTGCGCTACCATGCCTGGCTCATTTTGATTTATTGTAGAGATGAGGTCTCGCCAAGTTGCCCAGGCAGGTCTTGAACCTGTGGGCTCAGGCAGTCCACTCACCTCGGCCTCCCAAAGTGCTGGGATTACAGGCTGAGCCACCGAGCCCGACCTTGATGGAGTCTATCTAGTCCCAAATCCTAGCCAGTTCTAAAAATGGTATGCTGAATTGATCTTTTATCAAAATTGTCTTTATTTTTAGTGAAGACACATGGTAATATAAAGAACCCAGGAGACCTGCTTTCTAGACATTTCTCTAATTTCTCCTAACTTGAACAAATCAGTTAAGCTATCCTGGCCTAGGTGTCATGTTTCCTCATCTTTAAATCAGGGGTTTGGTCTAGACATTCTCTGCAGGTCCTGTTTTACCTTAGGTTTCATTAGCTGAATACCTGGAATGCCAAATAAAACCTAAGTTTTGATTTTAAGGATATCATTAACATTCTTTCCAAACAAAAATCCATGTGTAATTTGAACATGGCTCTTTAAGTATCTGAAGTCAAGACCAGAGATAGAAGTATGCTTTTTTTGTTGCATTCTTTGGCTTTATCTTCTCTGTGTGAAGATAAACTAATTGCTAAATAGATAGTTGGAATTAGGGATGCAAGTCTGTAGTCATCAAATAGAATTAAGCTGTTTTAAAACAGAAATTCTTTCTAGAATGAATAACTGTTATACTTAATTGCATCATGAAGCAGTTTATGAATTTTCCTCTTTTTTTTTTTTTTTTTTTTTTTGAGTTGGAGTCTCACTCTGTCACCCAGACTGGAATGCAGTGGCCGCTCCCGGCCACCGCAGCCTCGACCTGCTGGGCTCCAGTGATTCTTCCGCCTCAGCCTTCCAAGTAGCTGGAATTACAGGCATGCGCTACCACGCTCGGCTGATTTTTTGATTTATCGTAGAGATGAGGTCTTGCTGCTCAGGCGGGTCTTGAACCCGCGGGCTCAGGCAATGCACTCACCTCGGCCTCCCAAAGGCATGGGATTACAGGCTGAGCCACCGAGCCCCGCGAATTTTCTTCTTTAAAAAAAAATCCAAAGCAAAACTAGCCCATCTGGGTGGTAGCACATAATACTGAGTTGGGATATAGCACAATTACAGGGTTGAGTTCGACTAGAATGAACTTGGAGGAGGAAAACAGGAAGGCTTCGTTTGCTTTGGGTACATGCTATATATACTGAATAGATGTGTTCATTTATTCTTACTCTTTCTGGGTTTCTATCTGTCACACTTCAGCTGTCTTTTTGTTTTCATTGAGAGGTGTGGGAGTAATCAGTTTAAAATGAGGGGTAGCCAGTATCGAAAACTGTGTTGTCTGGGAAAAAAAAATATTGGATGTGTGTATGAACAGTAGAATACTGTTAATAGAGGGTAGCCTGAAGAATAGAGTTGCTCACCAAAATGATTCTGTTTCGTTGGAATTAGTCAGTATCATGCATGCATTGATAGTTTCACAAGAGAGCATTTAATCACTAAGAACGAGATACTGTAAACAATACTGGTCATTTAGAAATTTGAGTGTATAGCTTACATTTTGTTTCATTTGACATAGGAAGCAAGTAATAATGGCCATTGCTAATGAGGCTAGATGTACACATGTACTAATTAGTGCATTTCTTATTTGTTACAGTTTTTGTTACCTTGTAGTGTTTCTGTTACTTTTTTAATAGAAAGCTGCTAGAGGGATTTTAAATTTTAAATTTTTTGTTTTGCTTGCATTTTGTTAAATTATTACTTTTAATGGCGATAAACTCATTCCTCATAACCACAGAGCTAAACGTAGCATCTGGTTGCAGTGACTCCAAAATGCTTAAAACCTGGGGAAGAGAATATGGTTTTCATTTTGGCTTTTGTCTTTGCTTAAGCAGTTTAAATAATAAAAATATTATTTGAGGCCAAGCGTGTTGGCTCACGTCTGTAATTCCAGCACTTTAGGGTGCCAAGGCAGGAGGGTCTTTTGATGCCAGGATTTCAAGACCAGCCTGGGCAACATAGCGAGACCATGTCTCTACAAGAAAATAAAAAAAATTGCCAGGCATGTTGCCTTGCCTGTGGTATAGTTCTAGCTACTCGGAAGATGGCTTGAGCCCAGGAGTTTGAGGTTGCAGTGAGCTAAGATTGCACTACTGCCCTCCAGCCTGTGCAACAGAGTAAGATCCTGTTTCCAAAAAAAAAAAAAAGATTATTTGAAATAAAAGAACAGAAACGCAAAGTTTCTTTTGGGAATACAGTTGCCGTGTCTTGTTAATATTTCATCGTAAAAGATTATTCTCAGAATTCTGACTTGGTAGAATTTTACTCTTAAATTAGAGTATTTTATATAAACATTTTTTCAGAAAGACATTAGAAGATTAAATATATTGTAATTTTTTTGCTGTGTAATAAACTCATGAACAGTACAAGATTTTTAAGTCAGAACTGTTGTGAAATAGTAATTGAGCAAGTATATGAGCATACTGCTTAAGTTGGGACCAGTACAGTTATGCCTTGCAGACTTTCATTTTCTACACTCAGAAATAAGCAAGATTTCTGTCCGCTGTGTAAGATAGCTCTTGTCTGTGTAAACTAGAAATTCTCAAAAGATTAAACTGTTTCTGAGTCTGGTTTTTATTTCTGAAGAAAAACAGAATCTTACACAATGTTCAACCAGCCCAGAAAGCCCAAGGTTTGTTAGAGGATTCAATTTCTTAATTTTGTAAGTATTTTCAGAGTCAGTCTAAAACTTCCTAACTTATTTCTTTTTCTTTTTTTTTTTTTGCATTGCATTTCTTATCTTTTATGAATTATTCCTTTAAGAGTGAGAAAAAACTTTCAAAACTAGCAATTACTTAAATTGAAAAAAAAAGAGGAAGAAAAAATATGCACTGTGATAAAGTAGATTTATATTATAGATCTGTATCTATTTAGTAATTTTTTCAAATATTTTTATAGAGTTTTTAGTAATTAGCAAGAATTTCTCTACATTTTATTTATCTTTAAAATGGGTTTTGACATTTTAAGTCTGGTAGCCTTACCATTATTAATGTCATGAAACTGTATGCTTTTGACATTACTTAATCCAGTGATAAAAATTGAATTTTTTTCTTTTTTTTGAATTGGAGTCTCACTCTGTCGCCAGACTGGAGTGCAGTGGCCTGCTGGGCTCCAGCGATCCTTCCGCCTCAGCCTTCCAAGTAGCTGGAACTACAGGCGCGCGGCACTAGCCCAGCTAATTTTTTGATTTATTGTAGAGAGGAGGTCTCGCCAAGTTGCCCAGGTGGGTCTCGAACCCGCGGGCTCAGGCAATTCACTCACCTCAACCTCTCAAGGCACGGGATTACAGACTGAGCCACTGAGCCCGGCTAAAAAATTGAATTTTAAAAAGCACTTGATTTTTTTTCTTCCAAAATTAATGAATTTTTATGCATGTTAAAAATCTTGGCAGCTTAATAATAATAATAAGTTTTGAGGCAGGTAGAGCAGGTTTGGTGCTATTTTGCATTTTAATTGATTATTGAGTTTCAAGGTTATCCAGGGTGATCAGTTTGGTATTTTTTCATCCTTCATTTAGTGATACTCAATTTTCCTTTTTCCCTTTTTTCATATTCCTGCTAAATCCTGAATAGTTTGTGGCAGCTGGAGATCACTTAGTCCACCACTGTCCAACATGGCAATGGTAAGTAATGTTGAGTGAAGAATAGAAAACTAGTAAAAGGTGTGGCTTCAGGATTATGGCAGTTTGCAAAATAGGTTAGTATATGAAAATTAGAATGACCAGTTTAATCCTCTCCCAGTAGATTTTCTATTAAACAGTTCCCTAAATGATACTCAAAGTAAAATAAAGGAAGAACAGGTGGGTGTTACACCTATTTTAGCATAACAGATGGACCTCTTTGAGATACATGTGTTTGCTTCCTTTACTGGTATTTCTTTTCTTTACAGTGTACAGTTTGAGCTTGAGGTTTTAAAAAAAATAATGTTCAGTTGTTTAATAATTTGATTAGCTTATTTTTTCAAGTTAACATGCTTATTAATCATTTTTATGACTTAATAAATGCAGAGATATTACAATTTTATATTTTCAAAACATAAGACATGAGCATATTCTATGAGGGTTAAAAAGTATGTTCCCTCTCTAGGAAGTTAAGGTTAAAAGAAAGATTTGTGAAACCAATTGAGATCTTAACTATAAATCTGCTCGTAAGAGGCTGTAAATTTTTATTTTCATTACTTTTTAATTACTAAAGTACTCTAAGCAGTTTAGCAGTTCTTGCAGTGTATACTTTTAAATATCCTGAGTAATAACAGAATATTTTGAAACAAATGTGGTTTCATTACTTTTAAGTACTTGTAAAAACTCCCTGACAGCTAAAAAATTGATCCCCGTACTGACAAAACTATTTTATTTAAGCTGAAATTGTTTGACGTTATCACCTTGTTTGGATATAGGTGCTTCAACTTGTATCTTTTTTTTTTCCTTTATAACAATTTTTCAATTGTAGTTAAAGGTACAATTTTAATTGAGTGTAGGAGCTCTATAATTAACAGGGCTTTAATTGATAATGTTTAAGCCTTAATATCTAAAGAGCTTAATTATTAAACTCTGTTAGACCAGAGTTAGAATGCCAGCTTATTGTATTCCCCTTCATTTTTTTATCTACCGTGTACCTGAAACAGTTGGCACTGCTTTTGTCAATAGCTTTTTATCTTGTAGAGCTTATTTCTTATGTACCAAAAAAGAGTAAAATATCAGGTTCAATTTTTTTACTTATCTAATCATTTATTTATTGAATTACAGTCTCACTCTGTTGCCCAGGTTGGTGTACAGTGGCACAATCACAGCTCACTGCAGCCTTGACTTTCTGGGCTCAGAAGATCCTACCACCTCAGTTTCCTGAGTAGCTGAGACTATAGGTGCATGACACCATGCCCAGCTATTTAAAAAAATTTTTTTGTTGTTGAGCAAGGTCTTGCCATATTGCCTAGGCTTATCTCAAACTCCTGGGCTCAGATGGTCCTCTTGCCTCAGCCCCCAAAGTGCTGGGATTACAGGTGTAATCCACTGTACATAGCTTGTTCTGTGTTTAAAATTGAGTTTATATCATAGAAGCTCTTTTATTTAATAAAGATTTAAAAAATTTTTTTCCCTCTATTCTAAATTTTCTATTGCAACTATATTTAGCTAGGTTCTGGTCTATAATTTTTATTTCAGGTCAAATGAATATAAGGTTTAACTAAATAATCATTTTGTGAAAATAACTGATTTAGGGTTTTTTAGAATGATAGATATACATTTTTGTTATTGAGGTTTATTTGTCCTAGCTTTTAATTGTTTAAGTTATTTAGGCATTTGACTTATAGCATTCTTGTAAGGACTTATATCTATGGACAGGATGATCTTTGAGCAGATACTAGTAGTATATATTTCCATTTTATGAATTATGATGGCTTAAATAATTTTATTGAAACTTAGAACTCAATTATACCTCATTTCAGTGTTCATACTTCTGACTGAATTGCTGGACCAAAGGAACAATTCATTTTGTCAGTGCTAGAGGCAGTCTTTCCATGCTAATATCTTCATGTGAACAAGTGCTATCATGACCTTGTTTTGACATCTTCCTCAGAACTTTAGGCATTACCATGACTTTGTCAAATTTGACACTTGGGACTAGTTAAAAGAAGCCTAGAAAGCTGTCAGATGATATTAGGACATTTCCTAGCTTTATCTTATACTCAGATCTATGGTTTGAACTTTAAACTGAAGCTTGAAAAGGCAGCAGAACTCCAAATGTATGCTCAAGACACCATATGCCATCCTAGCTCTGGCCGATTCCAGTAGATGGCCCACAAAAGAATCTGAACAAATTTTATTTTCTTTAATTTTTTTTTTACTGTAAAGATATGGGGTACAATTCAGCATTGGATACATAAGTGGTCATCGTACAGATGCAGTTTGGGCCTCCCATTGGTCCTCATTTTGCCTGATTTGGGATCAGGTATCCTTATTGATGTTCTGTGCCCCTCCCCCACAGTGTCCCACTACTGTCAATCCTTTTCAAATAGTATTATGATAAATGTTCAGGGTCCACTTATGAGTGAGAACATGTGGTACTCAGTTCTTTGCTTCTATAATATATCACTGGGTATGATAGACTCTAAATCCATCCAAGTTGCTGCAAAGTCTATAATTTTGTCCTTCTTAATGACTGCATAATATTCCATCATACCACATTTTTTTATGCAGTCCACTTTTGATGGGCAGCACAATTGGTTCTATGTTTTGGCTATTGTGAATAGTGCTGCAGTAAATGTGCGTGCGCAGGTATCTTTTTTGTAGGATGAAATGAGTTCCTCTGGGTATATTCTCAGAAGGGGGATTGCTGGGTCATATGGAAGGTCGCCTTTTAGATCTTTTAGAAATCACCACACTGTTTTCCAAAGAGGCTGTACTAGTTTACACTCCCACCATCAGTGTAGAAGTATTCCCTTTTCTCTGCATCCTCTGCAGCATCTGTTGTTTTTTGAGTTATTAATGATGGCCATCCTGACTGGAGTTAGGAGGCATCTCAGTGTGACATTTCTTTGATTATTAGTGAGTCTGAGCATTTTTGCATGTCTCTGTTGCCTGCTCGTGTGTCTTCTTTTGAGAAGTGTCTATTCATATCTTTTACCCTAGTTTTTGCCTAGTTACCCAGGCTGGTCTATTCATATCTTTAATAGGGCTGTTTGTTTTTTTTCCTTTTTGGCATGTTTGAGTTCCTTGTAGATCCTGGATGTAAGAGACACAGTTGGCAGTTATTTTTTCCCATTCTATGGGCTATTTCCCTACTCACTTAGTGGTTTCTTTTGCTTTGCAGAAGCTTTTCAGTTTGATGAGGTCCCACTTGTCTATCTTATCTCTTATGGCATGGACTTTTGGGGTTTTGATCAGAATTTGGTTGTCTATTCCAGTTGCTGTAAGGATGGCTCCTGCATTTTCTAAGATTCTTATACTTTGAGGTTTTACGTTTAAGTCTTTGATCCATTTGGAGTTGATTTTTGTGTATGGTAATAGGTAGGGGTCTTGTTTCATTCTTCCGTATGTGGTCAGCCAGTTTTCCCAGCACCATTTACTGAATTGGTTCTCTCCCCAGTGGTTGTTGGTGGAGGCTTTGTTGAAGATGAGTTGGTTGAGAAATTGAGGCTTTGCTTTCAGAATCTCTATCCTATTCCATTGGTCTATATGCCTGTTCTTGTAGCAGTACCAGGCTGTTTTGATTATTGTGGCTGTTGATTATAATAAAGTTTAAAGTTAGGAAGTGTGATAACTCCCGTTTGGGTTTTTTTTCCCCCCCTGAGGATTATTTTGGCTATTCATGGTTGTTTACGTTTCCGTATGAATTTCTGTATTGTTTTCAGGTCTGAGAAGAATGATGTTGGTAATTTGATGGGCATTGTTTTAAACCTATAGATTACCTTGAGTAGGATGGACATCTTAACAATGTTGATTTTTTTCCAATCTATGAGAATGGAATATTTTTCAATTTGTTTGTATCTTCTTAGATTTCTTTGAGCAGTGTTTCGTAGTTTTCATTGTAAAGGTCTTTCACTTCTCTGGTTAGGCAGATGCCAAGGTATTTCTTTTCTTTTTTTTCTTTGAGTTGTAATCTCACTCTGTCCCCCAGACTGGAGTGTGTTCATGCCCACTGCAGCCTCTACCTTCTGGGTTCAGGTGATCCTTCCACCTCAGCCTTCCAAGTAGCTGGAACTACAGGTGTGTGCTACCATGCCTGGCCAATTTTTTGAGTTATTGGAGAGATGAGGTCTTGCCTGGTTACCCAGGCTGGTCTTGAACCCCTGGGCTCAGGCAGTCTTCTCTCCTCTGCCTCCCATAGTGCTGGGATTACAGGCTAGCTGAGAAATGTTGTAGTTGGCTCTGACCCACAGAGGGAGTAGTGTTTTAAGAGTAGGGGCCCTGGAGTTGCTTGGCTTAATCCTGTCTCTTCCTCCTTCTGGCTAAGCTTTAATTTATTTAACTATAAAATGGAAATATTACCTTCTTCCTTCTGGTTAAGCTTAATTTACTTATCTATAAAATGGGAATATTACCTACCTCTTAGAGATATGAGGATTAATTAGAAATAACCCACTAGAGATCTAAGTTCTGTACTTAATAAGCACCCAGTGAAAGGGTTTTTTGTTTATTTGTTTTTAAGCATTATTCTCAGTATTATCATCTTATGATTCAAAGCATTTTTTGTTTCTTAGTTCCAATTTTAACGCAGTGGTAGGGACAGGAATATTGCCAGCCACCTACATTGTTATGTAATGACATGCAGCTTTTTTCCTGCCTTTTCTTGTTCTCAAGATGAGCAGTACTTTAGGATTAAAAATCTGAGAAATTATAAAGTAGGCTGCAGCTCACTATGGAGCATCATTTTTATTTGTTCAGAGGCAAACATAATGGTTTCTTAATAGTTCTATATTATTCTGCCTTTTTTGTCTAATATGTAATCCAAGTTGTCTTAGGTCTGTGTGTATCTCTTGGTATAGTTCACTTATATTATTGTGCTTTTTCATTGCCCTGACATATATATCACTTAATGACATCCTTCCCAAATCAATTCTAAAACAATTTTCTTAGAAGTAAAGATTCTTTAGTTTTTAGATTTATATGTGATATCTTCTGTACTTGCCTTTTAAAATATATTTTTTACTTTGGTGCTTTTCATTGTTTTTAAAGGGCTACAGGGGAAGAATTGAAAGTGAAGGCATACCTACCAACAGGCAAACAATTTTTGGTAACCAAAAATGGTAAGAATTATATTGTATACTTAGTAAATTTTGCACAGAATAAAAGTATATATATATACTTTTTAAAAGGCCCTTAGCACTTAGGGATCCTAACATGTGCTTACAGCTGTACTTACAGTTTCTTTCAGACAGAAATTTGGAAATATAATGAAAGTCTGGAATATTTTTTCCTTGGTTTTTATCTCTTGTTTTTGTTATTTCTTTTTGCTAAAAAGATCTAGTTGTCAAGATATGAAGGAAGGGCTCTAAGGAATATTGAACTTCTTCTATTTTAATGTTTTAAAGTTGACTTTATATTCATAATCTTTTTTGTTATTTTATTTTAATCTTCTTTAGACTTAAATTTATCATGGAAAATGAAATTGGTACTACCTTTGACATCTAAAAGTTCATAGCTAAAGATTTTATTATATTGTGTTGTTGAAGGATTGCCGATAGGCACAAAAAATATTTTGAAACAGGAAGTATCTTATTTATGAAACTAATTTAAAAACAACATCAAAAGATTGTGACAGTTCCTAACTAATCACATAGCAATACATTGATTTCAGTTCTGATTTGCTCTTTATAGGAAAGGAAAAATAATATGTACAAAATAGCAGTGTTTTCTTTACTGCAACATGTTTTTCATTATTAGGATTAATCATTTATATATTGATTATCTTTTAAAAATTATGAGATTAATAGCAATTTGTTGACCCATACATTTGTTGTGTGAAAAACTTTTGGCACCAGGGTTATATAAAGGAATGCAGTTTAGGAGGTTGGTAAATTTTAAACTGTTTTATCCATTATAAATAACTGGAACTTAAATATGAATTATGAAATTTATGTTGAAAGTTACTTTATCTTTGAAAACCAGAGGTCACCTCTACCACCTCTGAATATGACAGCTGGTACCTCCATGTTCTGAGAGTAAAACCATTAAAATGAGGTGTTATTATTCATTAGACTGAAATTGAGCAATGACATTTCTGGCTTTAGCCTGCTGTTCTTCACAGACCTTCATGGGAAAAGGATGTATAGAACACTCCCAATAGAACCTTCCCACTTGTCTTCTGAAAACGCAATTTAAGGAAAGATAAGTGTGGTCAAATAATAATGAGTCTGTGGGGGTGAATGTAACTCTTAATCACTTTCATTAAAAGTGAAATATTCACTTAATATTTTGGTGGTATAAAAATCCTCTTTTATGAAATAAACTTTCTCTTCTTTCTAATGGATTTATGGTTAGCAGACTATGTGCTAATAACTATTTGCTATTTTGTTTTTTAAAATAGTGCCATGCTACAAGCGGTGTAAACAGATGGAATATTCAGATGAATTGGAAGCTATCATTGAAGAGGATGATGGTGATGGGGGATGGGTAGATACATATCACAACACTGGTAAGAGGAGAATAGACTGGTGTATTGTTAGTTTGAATTGTTTTAAACTCTTTCACAATCTTCATAACAGCCTGATTTTTAAAATGCATACATAAGGCACAGTTTTATCTCAGTAGACTTACATGAAAAAGGCAGGAGGATAAATTATAAAAAAAAGAAGAAAAAGCACTTGGACTGTGCCAGATTTCTGTAGTACCATCTGCTTCAGTTGCAATTTGGAAATATCCATATTATTAGTTTCTAAATAAAGAAATAATAAGGGGATTAGAAATACTGAGTATGCATAGTACTTTGCTTTGCATCTCTTACCTATGTGTCATGTTGTTGCTGGATTATGAGCACTTCTATGACTAGAACTATACTGTACTCATTTATTTTACCCTGGCATCCAAAAGTATGTAATAGTTATTTGTTGAGTGACTGCTAAAAGAAATTTTAAGTACTATAAGCTCCATGAAGATAGAAATTCTTTGTTGAATCCTTAATATTTATCATATTGTATGATGTAGAATTTGTTCAATAAAAACATATTAAACAAATTGAATTTAAGGCTTTCATAAGTTACTTGAAACTCTAAATATACTTTATTCCAAGCTCTAAAACACTATTTTGCCACTATATTTATGTAACTGTGTAAATACATATTATTATGTGCTGCTGTAGCTAACTACCCTTATGTCTTTGTTCTGATGAAGAAAATGTGTTCTGTGTTTAAATCCATTATACTAAAAACAAGTTTTCTCCCTCTGAGTTCTAGAGACTAGGAGGTACATCCTTAGTAGTAGTAATGGGATAGGGTTTCTCAACCTTGTAGACTGTTTAGCAGTATTTCTGGCCTATATTCACTGAACTTCAGTAGTTTCCCCTAGTTGTGACAACTAGAAATGCCTCCAGACTTGGCTAAATGTTCCATAAAGGAAAAATTGCTGCCCTCGGTTGAGACTCACTGCAGGTGACAGAGGGCTAAGCAATATGCACAGGTAAACGTATCCCATTAGGTCAGTTTCTCCTCTACTCTGAATAAAGGATGCTGCCATCTGTTTTCTTATGGAGATACAGGCACAGATAGAGGATGTGAACTTCTTGATCTGAAACTTTGCTTCCTAGTGAGTTGAATGTTGTATTAAGGCCTCAAGGAAATAATAGACAGAACAGCTTTTTAAAATAATCTCAAAAATCCTTCGTTTTTCTCACTAAGTAGTGCTGTTAAGACCTCTTCTTTTTCCGGATCTTTTCAAAGTCTTTACATTTCTGTTTTAGTTGTCCCATGGCCAGAAGATGATGGCAGCATACTAGTAGCAAATTCTCTGTTGACTCAACAGAGATTATAGCACTATTTCTGATTATAGCACTATTTCTGATGTTAAGTTAGTGAGTTACTCTGTCTAGTTGTATTCTGTTTCTAAACCACTATCCTGAAGTCTAGGTGCATATTTTCAAAGTCATTTATCACAGAGATAAATAGGTGTTAGCATGATTATGTTGATAAAAATCTAACAACTAAAAAAGTTTGCTCTAATGAAAGGGGACAAGCAACATAATTTTCATATTTAGAAAATAGCATAGTATTACACCACAGTTCTTTATTGTACATAATTCCAACTAATATTTATGAGAGCTACCCAAAGAATTTTACTTTTAAACTATGTCTTAGTTGATTTTCTGCATTATTACTGAATACTACAGGCTGGGTAGTTTATAAAGAAAAAATTCATTTGGTTTACGGTTCTGGGGGCTGGGAAGTCCAGGATTGAAGAGCTGCATATGATGAGGCCCTTCTTGTTATGTCAATACATGATGGAAGGCATCATGTGGTGAAGCATGGGTGAGACAGAAGGGATGGGAACTGAACTTCATCCTTTGATCAGGAACTACTCCCTTGTTACTGGCATTAATTCTTTCAAGAGGGCAGACCTCCTCATGGTCTAATCACCTTTTAAAAGGCTTACCTCTTAATACAGTTATAATGGCAGTTAAATGTCAACATAAGTTTTGGAAGAGACATCCAAACCATAGCAAATTATATTGTAATTTGACTAAAGCAGTGCTTTCAGCTGACTTATGAGGCCAGGTGTTGGTTCCTTATGCAACTCAGCCCCCTTTGCTTCATCCCTGCTTTTCCTGGTGCCTTTTTTTTTTTTTTTTTTTACTGTTAGCCCTTGTACTAGTCATGGTTCTTCAGAAAAATAGAACCAATAGGATGTGTATACAGTAGTCCCCTTTTATCCTCAGTTTTGCTCTCTGTGGTTTCTGTTACTTGTGTTCAACCATGATCTAAAAATATTAAATGGAAAGTTCCAGAAATAAACAATTCTTCAGTTTTAAATTTTGCATCAATCTGAATAGTGTGATGAAATCTGCTGTCCTGCTCCATTCTGCCCAAGATATGAATCATCCCATTGTCCAGTGTATTCATGCTGTATACACTACTTGCCTGTTAGTCACTTAATAGTAGATTTGGTTATCAGATCAACTATCACATATAGTGTATATAGGTATTTGGTACTATCTATCGGTTTAGGCATCAACTGGCGGGTCTTGGATTGCATCCTCTGCAGATGAGGAAGAGCTATTACATGTATAGGTCACAGATACAGGCAGATGGTTTTAAAGAATTGACTCAACATGATTATGTGGTCTGGCAAGTCTGAAATCTGCAGGGCATACTGGCAAGCTGGAGATCCAGGGAAGTTTTGATGTTGCAGCTTGAGTCCTAAGGTAGTCTGGAGGTTGAATTCCTTCTAGGGGACCTCAGTCTTTTAAGACGTTTGACTGATTGGATGATATCCACCTACATTATGGAGGGTAATTTGCTTTACCCAGTCTACTGATTTAAATGTTCATCACATCTAAAAAATATCTTCACAGCAATGTTTAGACTGGTATTTGACCATTTGAACATTAACGTCTGGGCACCACAACCTGGCCAAGTTGACATGAAATTAACCATCGCAACCCTTGGTAATATCACACTCATTGGAGTCATTTGGGTTTTCTGTTTCCTTGCCAATTGTGTTCTACTTTTAGAAGAGTGTGGTTTAATGGGATATTGCTACATTATTATATTTTGACAAATTGAAGAGGTTTATTTTCTTTGTTTTTATGTACAGGATTCAATGAAATCATTTTGTATTAATTCAGTATGTTAAGATATGGGTTTTACTGTTATAAAATAATCATACTCATTATGACTTCTAGAAAATCATAATAATTTCTAGAAAAACTATGAAATAAAAGCTTTATGCTAGACTTGTGGATTCTGACATCTTCCATTTGTGAAAATGAGCTATTCATTCTTTGGCTTAGGCATGTTGAACAGGTATAATAAATTTTTATATTAACAGAGGAGCTAAGCATATTTTATATTTAGCCTTTTTCCTTTAGTAACTTTAGATACTACTGTCTTAATTGTATTTCCCATCCTTGTTAAACTATTTTATTGAGAACACTGGCAGGTATTTTGTATTATAAATGTTATATAGCTGATTGGTGGTATTGCCACTGGCTTAATACTTTCATTGAGACAGGTAGGTTTTGAGATATTTGCTCAGTGAGGTACAGTGGAAAGAGAATTGAACCAAAAGTCAGTTCGTATGGAGTTTAATCCCAGTTTCTTCACTGAACTACCATGAGACTCAAGTCAGTCATTTTTCCTCTCTGACCCTTCATTTCTTCATAAGGAGACATTGTTACTAACCGCCTCACAGGAGAGTGTTTGTAAGCATTTAAAAAACACTTAGTAGAAAGTGTCATATAAATGTGATGTGATATTACTACCTTTGGATGTCCTGGATTTCTGAAGCAAATAGCATACAGGTTGAGTATCTCTAGTCCAAAATTCTGAAATCCAGAACTTTTGGAGCATGAATATGATGCTCAAAGAAAATGCTCTTTGGAGCATTTAGATTTTCATATTAGGGATGCTTGACCAGTAAATATGTATGCATATATTAAAAAATCTGAAAAAATCCAAAATACTTCTGGTCGCAAGCATTTTGGATAAAGGATATTCAGTTTGTATTAAGGTAAACAATACCTTTTTGAGAAAATTTTGATGCAAGTTCAATTAAAATATAAGTATGAATGCTGTAGTTTGTTCATCTATCCACTTTCTTAGAAAGTATTATGATAGAGACTCAAGGAAAGTCAATGCGGAATAGTAAATGATAGAATAGTATAATTTATGTTAAAACATTTTTTTAATTTAAGGAGATGCCTTTTGGATTATTTGTTCTTGTTTGTTTGTAGAGATGCTAGTAATATTTGCCTCATTTTAGAGAATTTAGGGAATTTTAAGTGTTTTTATATTGCTTCAATAAGTAAATGGAATGTTTAAAGTCTAATGTTACTTACTCTTTTCTGCTGAATTTTAAATAGGTATTGCAGGAATAACTGAAACAGTTAAGGAGATTACACTGGAAAGCAAGGTACTGGTTAATTAGCTATATTTTTAAACTTAATGACCTAGTTATTTGCCAACATATATATGTTTTAATATTAATCATATTTTTCTTATACAAACTCTGATTATTTATTATGAAGCTCTTTTAAATTTCAGCTGTCTTTTTCCCTTCTCATTTTTTTTTTTTTTACATCAACATACTAAAACAATACTGGTTCCTAATGCTTCTCTTATTTTCCTTAGTTTGTAGTATGGTTAAGAAAAACACTTTTGAAATTGTTACTTGTACAAACTATTAATTTGCACTAATTGGGAAACTTTCTAGGCTAGGTTAAGAGATAACTTTTTGTTTTTAAGTATATTTAGTAATTTGTATAAATGGAATATTTGTTGGGGAGTTATCTACTTACAAATCAGTAGATGCTAGTTATGTACTAATATTTAAATATTGCAGTTTAAATATTGTCATAAACAGCTTAATCATCTCTGTATTTTCTTAAATTACTGGTTTTGAAAATTTAAATGTAAACTTTAGCTTAGCATGATTCACATTCGTGATATTTTGAATGATTGTAAGCTAAATCAGGCCAGGTGGTTCATTCATGTCTGTAATCCCAGCACTTTGGGAAGCCATAGTGGAAGGATTGCTTGAGCCCCGGAGTTTGAGAACAGTGTAGGCAACATAACGAGATCTCATCTCTTAAAAAAAAAAAAAACAAAAAACCACAAAAAACCTAGTTCTGGTGGCACACACTTGTAAGTCCCAGCAACTGGAGAAGGCTGAAGTAGAAGTATTGCCTGAGCCCAGGAGGTCGAGGCTGCAGTGAGCCATGATCATGCCACTGCACTCCAGCCTGGGTGAGAGTGAGACCCTGACTCCAAAAAAAAAAAGCTAATTCAGTTAAGTTTTAGTGTATGATTTATTTGGGGGGAGGGTAAAATATATAATTGGGCAGAATTTTTCTACTTGAAAATTTTCTGTTATGTTAGACTGTTGGAGGTATATTAACTTTTTATTTCTCAGTTACATTGTAGTTACCTTCATATTTTTATTTACCTGTGGTTGTTTGAAATGTTATGAAAAATAATACAAAATGATTTCACCCTTTTGTTAACTATTTTTTAACAGTCAAGTCACTTAAAGAATAGACTATTTGGATGGAATAATTGCATTCCTACTATTCTTTTTTTTTTGAGTTGGAGTCTCACTCTGTCACCCAGGCTGGAGTACAGTGGCATGCTCATGGCCACCCCAACGTCTACCTGCTGGGCTCTGGTGATCCTAACACTTTAGCCTTCCAAGTAGCTGGAACTAAGGGGTGTGCTACCATGCCCAGCTAATTTTTTAATATATTGTAGAGATGAAGTCTCATGAAATTGCCTAGGCTGGTCTCGAACCCCTTGGGCTCAGGCAGTCTTCTCACCTCAGCCTCCCAAAGTGCTGGGATTACAGGCTTGAGCCACCGTGCCGGGACCCTACTATTCTTATGAAACATTTGCTACAATAGTTACTAAGTAAAGATACTATCTGTGTTTTTGTCATTTGAATCTTTTGAGATTTGTAATGGTCTTAACAGAAAGTGTTAGAAACTAAAGCAAGTTTTATATTTTTTTAATATAAAATTTTATGCTTATTAAGGATTAAGATTTAGTTCATTTACCTGAGAATTCATCCTTTTGAAATTTGACTTTTTGGAGCATTTGAGTAACCAAGGATAAATCACTCAAATGGCTTTGCTGCTTCAGAATATCTTCTTATTTACTCTGGACATTAGTTTATATATTTCCGACTTTCTGCATGATATATACCAGAGTAATATGAATAACAGGTTTTTGGGATGGGTATATGGTAATTCAATTTTTAATAAATGCATGAATGATTAATATGGTACTTGGTATGCCACATAGCATCCTTATGTCTTACTAATGTATGACTACTTAGAATAATTTGCAAGTAGAGTGTATCTTTCCTGTCATTTCCTACTTAGTAAATAATTTATTTATTTTTATAACTTAAGTACTTAGAATACTTGCCATCCAGACCTAAGCTGGTTCTGGATTTTTGTTGTATTCTATTATATCAAGTATGAATATCATCAACATGATTTAAATTTTCCTTAATGATTAGCTTGTTAGATATTATTAGCTCATCTAATAATTACTCAGACACTGGCATTCTTCTCCATGTCACATTTTGGGTATCATAATGATGCATATGACTTAAGTTTCTAGAGGTAAATGAAACTATCCATAAGTAAATTGTATCCTAGGTGAAACTAGATGTTCAATTTATTCACTATAAGTTCAATATTACATTGACTTAAGGTTTTTAAAAATGTTAATTTTGTAAAAATGGTATCTATATTAGACCTGCCATTGGTTACCATTATTCTTTCATTGTAGAGCTAATATAGTTAAGAAATTGAACTGAAATCTTACATGTTATAATAACTCTAAAGTCTGATAACATACTTAATTCAGCTAGGATATGTTAGCTTATAATTGTATTGTGGCTTGTAAATATGTATACTTTTTTCTTCTTTAAAGTTTAAATGTACAAGTTAACTTTGAACTTACTTTCTAATGCTAATGAATTGGTTAATAAAAAATACTGTTTTATTGGGAGCACAACTGGCAATTATATATTGGTCTTTTTCAGTAACAGCACTCAGCATATTACTTTTAATGATTGATATATAGGTTTTTCATCTCCACTGGAGTTTGAGTTTCTTGAGTATACGAACTGCCTTGTCACTTTTATTTTCACAGTGGTTACCACTATGCTAGCACATGTGTGGGTAATATTTGAACTAATGAACATACTTAAATGATTTTAAATATAATTAATTTCAAAGGACAGCATAAAACTTCAAGATTGCACAGCACTATGTGAAGAGGAAGAAGAGGAAGATGAGGGAGAAGCTGCAGATATGGAAGGTATTTGTGTTCTGGATTTTCTTTAATTTCACTAGAATATTAACTTTGAAATATTTGTTATTCGTATGTAGTAAGAATTATACTTCATTGAGTTTTAAAACATTTAGCAGTCTAGGGAGGATTTTGTTTAGTGTGTAAACTTAATCAGTGGAAAACTTACCCTGATCTTAGATTTTTGTATTTTAACCTAGAACATAGTCTTGGGCAGTATTATTTCTACTAGGATGAATATTAGTTGTAAATCATTAATATTGGGTAGCTGTAAGATGCTAATTTTAACCTAATCGATTTATTGACTTACTATATTATATTGACTTAAGATTTTCAAAATAATAATTTTGTGAAAATGAGCACAACAAAATTTGCTCACACATTATGTACTCCCCCCCCTTTTTTGATAGTATCTTTCTATTAAAACCCTGAGATAGTAATACTTAATGGGGACTTTTGAATTATACAGAATCCCCTCACAGTTTCCTAAGTTTCTGAAATACCCTCCTAGGGTTGCCAGTTGAGAAGCATTGTTACAAGAGATAGAAATTCATTATGCTCATAGAATAGAGTAATATGGGCCTGTGAATATAAGATTATTCAAAGTTTTATATTTTATTAGCCTGCTAATGTTTTTAATATGTATGAAACCTCAAATATTTAAAAGTAGATGGAGAAATTGCTATCACAAGGGTGACCTCTTTGTTAAATCCATTTATCTTTAATATACTTACATTTTCTGTAGTATTTGATTCTGTTAACTACATTTTCCTCTTTTTTTCCTCCCTTGGTTTCTATCACATTGGGTTTTCTTCTTCCTTCTACCTTGACTCTTCTAAGTTTTGTTTCCCTGATTACTTCAAAGTCCTCATGAAACCTAGCTGCATATCTGTTCCTAATTTTGGTGAGATTCTTGTCCTTATTTTTATGGTAAACTATTCCTTGAGGAAATCTAAATTAGTTACTTGAGCCAAAATTGCTTACAGCAACCTCACATGCCATCGCTATACTTGAGATTTCCATATCTAAACCTCCAACCTAGATTTTCTCAACTTCAGATTTGCTTGTTCAGTTTAATTTCCACTTGGATCCCTCACAGTTGTCAGAAACTGAACTCATCACTTTCTTGCAAGAATATTGTTTCTGACTTTCATCTGTCTCTAAATGGTATACAGTTGACCAAACTGGGATATGGGGATGGCATAGAACCCTATGAGTAAATCACTGTTTTCAGAGTACAAGCTGTGGGCCTGCCTTAAATATCTGACAGCCTTTTACTATGTTTATTGCACTTTGTTTGGATATTATTTTTATACTTTTTAAATTTTAGAGTCTTGGGGTACATATGAGGATTTGCTACATAACTATATTATGTGAAGGCAAGGTTTGGGCTTCTAGTGAGCCCTCTCCCTCCCCAGTAGTGGACATGATACTCAGTGAGGGTTGTGTATCCCTTATCCCAAATTCCTCCCTTCTTCTTTTTTCAGCACCCAGCATCTGTTGTTTGTGCCCGTGTGTCCAGTGCTTAGTGCATGTTTCTGAGTGGGAACATACAGTAATCAGTTTTTGTTTCTATTCTAATTCACATAGAATGATGATTCCAGCTGCATCCACGTTGCTGCAAAGGACATGATTTTATTCTTTTTTATGGTTGTGTCATATTCTATAGTACATATGTACCACATTTTCTTTATCCAGTTCACTTTCGATGGGCATCTGGGATGGTTCCATGGTTTTGCTATTGTGAATAGTGCTATAGTAAACATACTCATGCAGGTGACTTATGTAGAGTGATTTATGTTCCTCTGGGTATACTTTCAGAACCTGGCCATAAGTTCATTGCCTAAGTCAGTGTCTAGGAAGACGTTCCCTGAGTTTTCGTCTAATATTCTTACAGTTTGAGATTTCACATTTAAGTCTTTGATCCATTTTGAGTTAATTTTTGTATATGGTGATAGGTAGGGTTCCAATTTCATTCTGCATGTGGTTAGCCAGTTTTCCAAGCACCATTTGCTAAATAGGGTTTCCTTTCTTCAGTATTTGTTTCTGTCAGCTTTGTCAAAAATGAGTTGGTTGAACATCTGTGGTTTTATTTCTGGGTTCTTCATCCTGTTCCATTGGTCTCTGTGTCTACTTTTATGCCAGTACCATGTTATTTTGGTTACTGTAGCCTTGTAATAAAGTTTGAAGTCTCGGAGTGTGATACCACTAGCTTTGTTCTTTTTGCTGAGGATTGCTTTAGCTATTCAGGCTCTTTTTTTGCTTCCATATGAATTTCAGTACTGTCTTTTCTAGGTTTTTGAAAAAATGTTGCTGGTAGTTGGATAGAGATTGCATTGAATCTGCAGATTGCTTTGGGTAGAATGGACATCTTGATGATATTCTTCTAATCCATGAGCTTGGGATGTGCTTCCATTTGTTTGTGTTGTCTTTGATTTTTTTGAGCAGTGTTTTGTAGTTCTTGTTTTAAAGATCTTTCATCTCTTTTGTTAGATGGATACTGAGGATTTTTTTTTTCTTTTGTGACTAGTGTGAATGGATTGTGTTTTTGATTTGGTGTTATCCTGCTTGTTGGTGTATAGAGATGCACTGATTTTTGCACATTGATTTTGTCTTCTGAGACTTTATCAAAGCCATTTATCAGTGTAAGGAGGTTTTTGACAGACTCTCTAGAGTTTTCTAGGCATAGGATCATACCATTTGCAAAATCGATAATTTAACTTTCTCTTTTCCTAACTGAATACCTCTGATTTCTTTCTCGTGTGTGATCTGACTAGGACTAGTTCAATATGAGGGGTGAAAGTGAACATCCTTGTCTTGTTCTAATTCTTAAGTGGAATGTTTCCAATTTCTGCCCATTAAGTATGATGCTGGCCGCAGGTTTGTCATAAGTGACACATATATTATTTTGAGGACTATTCCTACAGTGTCTAGGTGTTTGAGAGTTTTCATCATTGGATATTGGATTTTATCAAGTGCTTTTTTTCTGTGTATTGAGATAATCATGTGGTTTCTGGTTTTACACTTGTTTATGTGATGGATTACTTTCATTGATTTGCATGTGTTGAACCAGCCTTGCATTCTGGGAATGAAGCCCACCTGACCATGATGGATGATCCTTGTAATGTGACATTGGATATGGTTTGCTAGAATCTTGTTGAGAATTTTGGCAAATATATTCATCAGGGAAATTGACCTAAGTTTTCTTTTCTTGTTATGTCTTTGCCATTTTTGGGTATCAAGATGATACTGGCTTCATAGAATGAGCTAGGGAGAATGCCTTCCTTCTCAATTGCTTGGAATACTTTCAATAGGATTGGTGTCAGCTCTTTCTTGTACCTCTTGTAGAATTCAGCTGAGAAATCATCTGACCCAGGGTTTTGTTGTCAGAGAAGTTTCTTATTACTGAATCAATTATTTGAATGGTATTGGTCTGTATAGGGTTTCAGTTTCTTCTTGTTTCAATCTTGGGAGATGTGTGTTTCCAGGAATTTCTCCGTTTTTTGTAGATTTTCTAGTTTACTTGAATACAGTTGTTCATAGTAATCTCTGATAATCTTTTATATTTCTTCAGGGTTAGTTGTAACATTGCTCTTTTCGTTTCTAATTGTTTATTCAATTTTTTTTTCTCTTTCTTTTTTAACCCTTTGTGCTCAGATATCCCCTCTTAGGGGACATCGTAAATTTAGCAAACCACACAGATGTCCCTTCTCAGGTGACATAAATAGATTTCTGGTGATTATACAGGACAAACTTATGCAAGTGCAGATTTTTTTAAAATGTATTTTTCCTTGAAATTTTTCATTCAGAAACAATGAGAAACCTATGTCCCATTTGAAATTTGTCAAACTTCTGATCAATCAGTTAAGAAGTGATTTTCAGGAATCACAAGTGCATCCTTCCACATGGTCTTTGAACAACAAACGGGACAATAAACTACATATTATTAATGTGGGAGAAAAAAAATGATACTGCATTGTCTGCTGGAATAGGAAAACACCAGGTAGAAGATGTCAAAAAAATTACTGTTGCGCAGCAAGTATCAATGAACCTGCAATGCATGTTGGTGACTGTTTCACACATTACTATATTTAGAAAAATATAAGGTGTAAAATTTTGGTGTTTTTTTTTTTTTTTGAGTCAGAGTCTCACTCTGTCGCCCAGGCTGGAGTGCAGTGGCACACTCAGGCTACCCAAGTGTCAACCTGCTGGGCTCTGGCGATCCTTCCGCCTCAGCTTTCCAAGTAGCTGGAACTACAGCTGCGCACTACCATGCCCAGCTAGTTTTTTATTTATTGCAGAGACGAGGTCTTGCCAAGTTGCCCAGGCTGTTCTCGAACCTGTGGGCTCAGGCAGTCCACTCACCTCAGCTTCCCAAAGTGGTGGGATTACAAGCTGAGCCACTGAGCCCAGCAAAAATTTTTTTTGTTATAAAGTTTCTCAATGTTCAAAATTCCATTAGAAGTCAAATATTGTTACAATTAAAAAAAAATTGATTCCAATGCTATACTATTTAATATGAAGTGATTCGTTTTTCACTGTTTTGTAAAAAAGTATGGTCAAGTTGGTGGTAGGTGATCTGCAAGATGTCATCAAGTACAAAGGGTTAATCTGACTAGAGATCTGTCAATTTTATCTGTCCTTTCAAAGTCCCAGCTTTTTATCTCATGGGTCCTTTATATAATTTTTTTGGTCTCTAGTTCATTTAGGTGTGATTTTATTTTGATAATTTTCATTGTTCTACTGATTTGGGGATTGAATTACTCTTGTCTTTGCAGCTCCCTTAGGTACAACGTTGGACTGTTTTCTGGAGATCTATTTTCTTGATATTTGCATGCAATGCTATAAAATTTCCTCTCAGCACCACCTTCATGGTATCCCAGAGGTTTGGGTATGTTTTTTTTTTTTTTATTTTTATTTTTTTAGGAGTCTTTTTATTTCTGTATTAACCCAAAAGTTATTCAGAAGCATTTTGTTTAATTTCCATGTATGTGTGTGTTTGTGCAGGGTTCCTGTTGGTGGTGATGATTATTTTTATTCTTCTCTGGTCTGAGAAGATACTGGTGTGATTTTGACCTTTTGAAATTTGTTTACACTTGATTTATGTATGAGCATGGAGTATGTTCCATTTGCTGACAAGAATTATATAATCTGTGATTTAGATGTCAGATCTAATTGGTTGAGTGTCGAGTTAAGTTTCCAATTTCTTTGTTAGTTTTTTTGCCTTGATGATCTGTTTAAGGCTGTTAGTGTGGTATTAAAGTCTCTGACTGTAATTGTATGGCTTTCTGTGTCCTCTCTTAGTTTAATTAGCAATTGTTTTCTAAATCTGGATGTTTCTGTGTTTGGATATATATACATTCAAAGTGAATATTTCTTGCTGGTGAATTGAGCTTATTTTCATTATAGTGTTCTTTAGTATCCTTTTTGACTTCTTTTGGTTTAAAGTTAGTTTTGTCTGATATAAGAATAGCTACTCTGGCTCTTTTTTTGTTTTCCATTTGCCTGGGAGATCTTTCTCCAACCCTTTAACCTTGAGCCTGTGGGTGTCATTTTTAGTGCAGTGGGTTTCCTGAAGGCAACAGAAAGATGGATTATACTTCTTTTTCCACTTTTTCACTCATTGCCTTTTTGAGTGGCTTGTTCAATCCATTCACATTTAAACTAATTATTGATATATGGGGATTTTCTCCTGTCATATTGCTATAAAATGCCTGCTTTGTGTTCTAGGCTTTGTGGTTGATTTGTATGGTCTGTAAACTTTGTGTTTACTTATGCTTTTGCAATGGGTGAACCATTCTATCATTTTTGTTCTTAGAACTTTTTAAAGCATCTCCTGAAGGGCTGGTCTGGAGGTGGCATATTCTCTTAGGGATTGAATGTCTGGGAAAGATTTTGATTCTTCTTCATTAATGAAACTTAGCTTGGTGAGGTAGAAAATTCTTGGCTGGAAAAGCTTTTGTTTAAGAATTGGACCCCAAACCCTTCTGGCTTGTAAGGTTTCTGCCTAGAGTTCTGCTGCAATTCTGATGGATCTTCCCTGGTAGATGGTCTGTTCCTTCTGTATAGCTGCCTTTAGGATTTTTTTTCTTTCATGTTCATTTTGGTGAGTTGGATTATTATATGCCTTGGGGAGAGTATTCTAATTCAGAACCTTACAGGAATTCTGTGAATCTCTTGCATCTACATGGCTCTCTGTTTAGTCAGATAGGGGACATTTTCTTGGATGACGTTTTAGAAGGCTTGTTCCCGTGTGTTCAGTTTTTTCTTCTTTCTCGGGGATGCCTGAGAACTATAGATTTGGTCTCTTTACATAATCCCAGATCTCTCTCCTAGGTTTTGCTCATTTTTCCTGAGTCTTTTCTCCCTTTTTATTTTTTTATCAGACTGGGTTAGTTCAGTAGTTTGATCCTCGAGCTCTAAGAGTTTTTTCCTGTGCTTGATTGATTCTGCTGTTAAAGCTTGCTGTTGTGTTTTGAAATTCCAGGAGAGAGTTCTTCATTTCCAAGAAGCTCGGTTTGGTTATTTCTTAGAATGGGCAGGTTAGCTTTCACTTGTACTGTTTTCATGGACTGGATGATTCAAGTGTCTGCTTTCTCATGGATATCATGGCTTTGCCATCCACAGTCTGAATTCTGTGTTTGCTATCAGAGGGAAGTCATTCCAGGTGGGTTCCTTTGCTTGGGATCTGGATATCAACTCATTGAGACTTTGTGGCTATTGACTCATTAAAGCTTTGGGATTTGCTGGTGTTTTTTTTTGCTGGTTCTTCCTTATCTATGAGAACAGACTCTTTTCTTTTTAGTTTTTGTTTTGTTATTTTTTCATTAAAGTTGCTAATATTGTATTGGCAGTTTGTGTGTGTGTGTGGTTTTTTTTTTGTTTTTTTTTTTACTGATCTCCACCTGTGTGTGAGAGGGGCAGAGGTGACAGGAAGGGTGGTGAACTGGAGGAATCTTTCTAGCACTGTTTCACCAGTGCAGTCGGGTGGGGTTGGGGCAAGTTTTTTCCTCCAGTTCAGACTTTCTCCTCCCTCTGGTGCAGGCACCAGGGGCCCTAGTTTAGGAGTGCCACTGGCCCCCTCCACTGCTCAGGCATCTCATCAGCAGGATTGACAAGTGTCTAGGAGTGACCCCATGGCTCTACTTCACATAGGTGTTCTTGGGAGCATGGAGTAGCTGTGTCCCCTTCACACTGCGTTAGAAGGGAAGCAGCTGCTTTGTTGGTGGAAAATGGGCATTTCTCTCTCGGACCACAGGTGGGAAAGGCCACTGCCACCAAGTTGCACAGGGGTGCACCTACTCTTAGTTCCTACCCTGCTGTGGGAGGAGCTGTCACAGTGATAGTGGCTCCGAGGGCAAGCCTCATCTGCAGTCTTGATCTGGGGCCACAACAGATGCTGACACTATGGAAGAAATGTCCCCAAAGTGGGCATGTTGCCCCTGCTAGGGGCTGGAGAGGGAGGGGGGAGGCAAGGGTCCATGGTGCAGACCACCCGCATGGGATGTTTCCCAAGAAGTCTCTCCTTGGGAGTGCTTGGCAGCTATTGATGCCAGGGCTCACAAGGAACTGGGGTTCCCTGGGCTCCACATGGCCCCAGTGTCTTTGTTCCAATTCCAGGATAACTTTTCTGTGCCCAGGTGGTGGAAAAAGGCTATGGGGGGAGAGTCTGGGCTGTTTCTCTCTTGACTGGAACTACAGAGGCTTGTCTGAGTGTAAAAAACAAGCCATTCCTTTTACTCACCCCTTCCTTCTCCAAGAGCGCTCCCAATCTTGTGGTGACTAGGGCTTGGAGGTGTTCATCCTCTGCATCCTCAGATAACTGTCCGGTAAACCTCACTTTGGCTTTTCAGGCCAACCCTCAGTGTCTCTCTCCTCCAATAGGTTTCTTTGCTGAGTGTAGCAGTTGTGCAATGTCTATAGTCAGCTATTGACCCGCCCCCTTGGATATAGTAAAGAAAAAATTGCTATATATGACATTTTGCTAAAAAATAGTGTTGGTGTCTAATAGAAAATACAATTTTCATTCATTTGTTCAATAAATATTTATTGAGCAGTATAGTATCTATGTATCAGGTAGTGAGTTCTTGGTGCTGGAGATAAAGCAGTAGTCACAATCTCATGAAACTTATAGTCTAATTAGGGGAGACAATCAAAAAATGTATAAGCCAAATATATACTGTGTTAGTTGGTTATAAGTGTTAGGGAGAAAAGCAAAGGAAAGAAGGGGATTGGGAAAGAGAGTTGCAATCTTTAAATAAGTTGGTCAAGAAAAACCTCATTGAGAGTTATACCATTTGAGTAAATCCTGGAAGTGAGTTAACGAGCTCTTTGGATATCTGGGAGAGGAGTGTAAAGGCCTTGAGGTGGTGGTAACATGTGGCTTGTGTAAAATACTGCAAAGAGATTCCCACCGTCTAGAGAAGAGTGAAGAGAGAGTAATAAGGAAGGAGTCAGAGAGATAACCAGGGACTTGTCACAGGTTCTTTTTACACATCAGATAGTGTAGAGTCCTGTCTTTAACTCAGAGTGAGACAAGAGGCCATTGGAGGGTTTTCTAAGTAGAGGAGTGATGTGATTTAACATTTCAGCAGAATCACCATGAATTCAATATTGAGAATAAACTGAAGGGAGAAAAGGACACTAGGAGGCTAGTTTGATAATCTAGGCAAGTCATGATAGTGGCCTAAGCTAGGTTCATCAAATTGGTAGTGATGAGAAATGGTGGAATTCTGCTCTTATTTTGGATTTAGGGCCAAAGGGATTTGTTGCTGGATTGGATGTGGGATGCAAAAGGCAGGGAAGTCAAGTGGAGCTCCAAGATTTTTGACTTGTGCATCTAGAAAAATGATATTGAGTCGCAGAATATTAAGAGTGGTTAGTTTGGAGAGGGAATTGGGAGCTCAGTTTAAGACATGTGATATTTGACTAGCCAATGGGGCCGTGACATAAACGTGCAGTTGGAATAAATTTTAGAATCACCAACATTTAAGGCCATTGAGACTGAACGAAATCATTGCAAGGCTAAGTGTGGATAAAGAAGAGGAAGATCCAAGAACTGAGCTCTTGATTACTGCAGTACTTTGGTTTTTTGTTTTATTTTTTAAAGTAGAGGCAGTGAAGAGGAACCAGCATAGAAGATATTTGAAGGAGCAGCCAGCGAAGTGGGAGGAAAACCAGGAAAATACAATATTGTAAAAGCCAGGGAAAGAAAGTATTCCACGGAGAAGGGACTAAATCATGCCAGAAATTCCTGAAAGGTCACTTAAACTGAAAACTGGGAATTTCCTACTGGATGCAACAAAGAGGAGATCACTGATGACTTTAATGAACATATTTATATAGTTATATGTATAACTTTATATACACTGGAGTCACTGAGGACTCTACGGTATCATTATGCCAATTGATATTGTCAACAGACCAAGCCTTAAACATACTGGCTTTGCCTGGGCTTTCCTCAGGTCAAGTGTCTGCTGCTTTGGAAGTATAGAATTCTCTCATATCTATTCAGTATTATCAGTTAAAAACAAAGGCAAAACCCCAGTTTTTTAATGATAACTCTGAAGTCATATATAATTTGGTTTAGGAAATGTTTTTGAACATGATGAATCTTTTGTTGCTTTTTACAACAGAATATGAAGAGAGTGGATTGTTGGAAACAGATGAGGTTTGTAAATTGAGTTTTATTTAATTTTTCATGAATGAATTTGGGGATTAGTGTTCTTATAATATATTGATCTTTCAAAGAAATTCTTACTTTTTTACATTGGTTATAGAATATAAAAATTTTTTTTTTTTTTTTTTGAGTTAGAGTCTCGTTCTGTCACCCAGGCTGAAATGCAGTAGCATGCTCACAGCCACCACAGCCTCGACCTGCTGGGCTCAGGTGATCCTTCCACCTCAGCCTTCCAAGTAGCTGGAACTACAGGCACGCATTACCACGCCCAGCTAATTTTTGATTTATTGTAGAGACGAGGTCTCACCAATTTGCTCAGGCTGGTCTTGAACTCCTGAATTCTGGCATTCCTCTCGTCTTGGCCTCCTGAAGTACTGGTTTTATAGACTTGAGCTACCATGCCCAGCCTGAATATAAAATTTTAGCTTTGAGTTTTAAGTTCATTACTTTTGGGAAATTAAGACATAGAATGAAAAAAATAGATTTTCTAGAATACTGATTCATACTGATTTGATGGTTGTACATTTTTCTCCATTATTATATGCCAGGCTACCCTAGACACAAGGAAAATAGTCGAAGCTTGTAAAGCTAAAACTGATGCTGGAGGTGAAGATGCTATTTTGCAAACCAGAACTTATGATCTTTACATCACTTATGATAAATATTACCAGACACCACGACTATGGTTGTTTGGATATGACGAGGTAAAAATAAAGAGAAGTACATTTTGATATAAATATTTTAAATTGTTGGATTTAATTCCTTTTTCGCTAGTCCATGGGTATATATTGTGGTCTATTAAATTTTAGGAATTATTTGTAATGCAATTTTATAATTAATATTGAACTTGATTCTTTCTTATTTTGAAAAACTATAAGTTATTCAGTGTGACAACAGTAATGCTAAGAGGTAAACAAAAAAAAATGTTACATATTCATTCCTTGACCTCCTTCAAAATGTGAAGGAAATTGATCTTGGTATGTTTTATTAAATTTTATTTGGGATTTCATATGTTAGATGTTTACACGTTTACAAAAGGATCGTGTCACATTATTTTCTTCCCTTAAAATCTTTTAAACTCATTTACTTAAATGAATTAAAAGGATAATTGAAATAAGATCAACTTGTTTTACCTGTTATTCTTAATGACCGTAAATGGGAAACAAAAAAGATAAAATAGGCCTAGGAGAGATGAGTTACAAAGTAATAAAATGTTGTGAGAGCCACTCACCTGCCTTTTTGTGGGATCTTTTCTGCATTAGGTAGTGTCTTATGTCACATAGCCTGGATATGCCAACTCCTTCCCCTTTACTCCCTTTATATATATAAATTGTAAACTTTCCCCAAAATAATGCTAAATAGTCTGGAATTCTAAATTGTAAGTGATAAGTGGGATACTGAGGTTTAGGTTAAAAGTTTTTCATTTGTAATTTCAAAGCATTTTTTATGCTTTCAGCAACGGCAGCCTTTAACAGTTGAGCACATGTATGAAGACATCAGTCAAGACCATGTGAAGAAAACAGTGACAATTGAAAATCACCCTCATCTCCCACCACCTCCTATGTGTTCAGTTCACCCATGCAGGTCTGTATATGCAGAGATACATATATTTTGTGTGTGACATAAATATATATATATATTTCACGGGTTTATGACTTGGGAATATGTAGACATAGTACCCTAACAAAAAATTTACTTAATAAGCAAATAAGATTCTCTTTCATCTTATAAGTGTTCTTGTGTTTAGATAAATATATAAGAAAAAGGGGGAAAACTTCACCAATTTATTTTAAGTTTAATACATTAAGAATTTTTTTTTCCCTCTGGGTGTTTGGTTATAGAATAGATATTTGTGACTTTATTCCTTTTTTTTTCTCTCTCTCTTAGATTGGTTTGGAAGATCTTGTTTTTTTTTTGGATTCAGAAATACTCATCCTTTAGATATAGTTTTATCTCTGATGAATGTAAAACATTAAGTTAACTTTGTGCTTTTTCTAGGTGACCTATTTTATCTCCTTATCAGTTAGTGAGGGGAAAAATGTATGAAGAGATTCTACACTCCATTATTCTTTAATTGAGAGCTCTTCAGCCTTATCAACTCTAAGTACATTTTATAAGTTGGGATTTTCTATCCTATCTATCACTATGTTTTCACAGGACCAAATTAGTGAAGCTGAACCAGTATACACGATTTGTTCAGAATTTTTCTTAAAAAAAGAAAAACTGTTACATGCAAAGTTCTTTAGTTATTTCTAGTAGGTAACTTTCACAATTCATTGGAAAATTATGGTAACACTATTTTTCAATGGAAACACTGATATTTCATTGACCAATTAAATGAAACACTTAGTTTTTTTCTCCTTATAGTTAAAAAAAATTTTTTTTGGTAGATATTTTCTTCTTATTTTCTGTGATGTCTTTACTTGCAAACTTTAATAACCCATAGAAAACTTTGATCCTTTTTGAGATTATTTGCATCAAGAACATTAGCATTACTAACTATGAAAAGTCATTCAGCAGTTGTTAGTTTGTTTTGAATTATCTAATCTAAAAATGTTCACTTTTGAGAGTTATTCAGTTGGTTCCTCTTATAATTTGAGGTCTTAGGACGGTGCTTATCAAAATGAAGCATGTCTTGTTTCTGGTGTAATTTTTACTCAGTTGAGGAAAAAAAGGTAAATAACTTAACCAGTAATTATATTAAACATGTAAATAAAATAATTGACTATATTATAGAATAAGATATGAATATGAAAAAAAGCTGAAAGCCTATAAAATGAAACTTAAAGGACATTAGAAGCCATTCCATGGGCTGCCTCAGACTGTGCCTTCAGATCCTCTAGGCTAATACATTTACTCTTATGTTTTAAACCTCTGCCATATAGGATATATTCGTTTGAAAGATTGTTTATTTTATACATTACCTTTTTCTTAGTTTATATATCCAGATAATAATTTTGTTAGAGTACAGGAGAGATACCAGTTGGCCATACAAAGATGTGTGGATAGGACAAAAACTTTATATAAATACCTTTCTTCATATAAAGCCAAAAGATTATTTTTAAATAGAATCAGATAAATTTTAGAACACTCATTAGGACAAAGAAATAAATATAACCTTCTTAACTCTGATGAATAAGCTTTTCTTGAACCCTCTCAGTTTTGGCTTATTCTCAGCTAAATATTTAAATAGTCAAAATCACAAGATTATAGATATTTCTTTGCTCTTTTGACCAACTGTTACTATGTATCTTTTTTAAATTTGCTTGCTCTGATTCTTTTTTGTTTCTCAGAACAGACAGCCATTGCTTCACATTTATCCTCTGTTATGATTTCCCCTTTTCTGGTTTTTTGCTTCCCTTCTGTGTCACCATTATCAGAAACCTAATTAATACTGTTATGGTTGTTGAGGCTACCATAGCTTTTTAAACTTAACTCTTCCCCCAATAAAGATGTTTGCATTAACAATCTGACTTGTTGGAGAGTAGATGGAGGAATATCTTATAAGATAATTATTTGTTAAAAATGAACTCACCAACAGTAATTAGTTAGATGTTTCATGAACGAAAATGTGCTTTTCTTATTTAGACCTAATTGATCTATACTAATAACATTTACTCTTTGCTTTTAGGCATGCTGAGGTCATGAAGAAAATCATTGAGACTGTTGCAGAAGGAGGAGGAGAACTTGGAGTTCATATGTATCCTTACCCGTGTGTATGATTGTTAGCAAAATGGCACTTAAATTTTTTGTTTTCTTTTTGAGAAATTTAGTGTAACCTAATGACATTGTACCTACAAATTGTTACAGCTTCTCATATCTGAAAGTCCATTTGGGAGTCTTTAATTTATTAGTTATTCTTTGGTTAATTAGAACATGTCCCTGTGTGTACCAGTAGCTCAATCTACCAAGAGAGGTTAACCTACTTACTTAGAATATTTTTTTTCATAAGTGTATTTTCAGCTTAACATGTTAGTCAAAAATGTATTTTCCCATCCAATAAAAATAAAGTTAGTGTGTCAGTCTGAGGTTTCCCTGAAGCAAATAATTTAATTTAAGCAAATAAATTAATTAAAAATTAATGTGCTCATGAAGTGCTTTAGATATTCTTAAAATATAGTATATTCATTTTTCCCAAGAGAATAGCACCTTTCTTGTATCTTACTGTGGTTCTGCTGAGTTTTCTTGGGTTGACAAAAAGATTAAATTCAAGTTAATGCCCAACCAAACTGTTGGGTCCTAAAACGCATATACTCATAGCATGGACTCAACAAAAAGCCAACAAAGCCAATGACTTATATACCAAATAGCTTAAATTAGTTTGATGGGTTGAAACTGGACTTGGTGGTTCATGCTACTTGGTGTTAGAAATAGAAGTGTAGACTGAGGAGTCACCATTGTCTTCTAGCTGTATATAACCTAGGCATCATTAATAAAGTGTACCCCTCAAAGAACAGTGGACTGATTTGATATTGAAGCAAACCAAGGAGTTCCAGTCCAAACCAGACTTGTTCCTGAAATCCTATTATTTGTAACTGACACATTCATCTCTATGTCAGAGGCTAGGTAGCAACTTTGGAGACTCTCTGTTTATAACTTATAGAGTCATTGGTTCCCCCCAATAAAAATTAAGTAAACTCTTAATGTTTCCAAGTGCAATGGGACATAGAAAAAAAATTTCAGGATTTTATTAAAGACAGTCCAATATAGAATATTCTATGGCAAGAATCTACTAACCTAGAATCAGTTCATTATGAAGGATTTTCATAATTAATTTTTGTCTCTTTTACTGCAGTGTTTTTATACTTTTTATCCTGCCTCATTTTCTAACATTACTCTAGCAAACATGGAAACAAGTTTCAAATTCAAATATTGGAATGGGTGGTCAGGCAGTTTCAAAAGTTACAGAGAGCCTCATGTTAAATAGATACAAATTTGCATGATTGAATTTTTGTAATAGACTTAATGTGAGATTTTGTCATATATTTTTTCTGAGAAATTAATTGCTTAATGGATGTAATTACAGTGTGGGCTCAAAACAACATAAATTTTATTTTCCTTAGCTGAAGACCTTTAGGTATCTTCTGATTTTCTTGAAATTTGTACAAGCTGTCATTCCAACAATAGAATATGACTACACAAGACACTTCACAATGTAATGAAGAAAGCATAGAATCTATTCTAATTATTGGTTCTGATTTTTAAAGAATTAACCAGATGTGACCATTGACCATATTCACCAGTACATACAGTTTCTCTAATAAAGGGACTTATGTGTTTATGCATTAAATAAAAAAAAGTTCCACTACCAGCCTTATTTGTTTAATAAAAATGAGTGTAAAGAGACTTGTCTTTCTCACTTCTTATCAAAAGTTCATAATAAGATTTCTCCTAAATAATAACTTTTTAAGTGAAGATGTATCTCATACAATGATGATAGTATTTTTGGTTCACATATAGGAGGAAGATACTAAATGTGTAATAGTGTCGAAACTAAGACTAGAAAACACTGCATGCCGTACTATCTTCCCTTCTTTCTCTTCCTCATTGTTCATCTTGGTTTTCCATACCTGTCCCCAGACCTCTTACTAGTAAATATTTATGAGACACTTACCATGTGCCAGGAGATATTTTAAGTATTATTATCTTATTTCCTGATTGCTTTATTAAATTGATACCACCAAAATTACTTTTTATTATGGATTCAGGAATATTTTTCCTATTATGATGACCTAATCGAGTATTAAAATTTAAAGGGATTCCCCCCCCCCTTTTTTTTAATCATGTCAGTTTATAGATCTGGGTATAGGAGTTTAGAAAAGCAAGTGATCCACTCTGGGACACACACTGCAATCCAAATAAGACAACGCAGACCTTTAATTCTCTTTATACATCTACATACCTTTCATTCCTGTTTTTTTAGTAGTCTGCACAAAGTGAAGTAGCTAATCTTGCTTTTAAGAAACCTTAGTTTTTGTTTTATTTTTTCCTCATCATTCAAGAATACTTTCCTTCAGTGCCTCTTTATTTTCTTCCTTTTTCCAGTCTAATTCTTGTATTGCAAGGAAATCTCCATAATTAAGATAATGACTTGGTTGGAGATAATGTGGTGTTTGATATGGTATAACATGGAGATATAAATGTGGATGTCATCCTCTAATATACTTAAGTAGTCAACCAGGTACTCTCCTTTTACTAACTTAAATTGACCTACCAAACTGATTTTACTGGAATATTTTCTTTTTGAATATCTTTAGTCTACATGATCTCCAATATTAGATGTTATCACATTGTCAGCATTTTTCTTGCAGTTGAATCTTATTTATCAAAAGTAGACATCTTCCCTTTTTTTGATTAAGTAGTCCCATTTAGCTCAATCACCACTAGGTGGCTTCTTTTTTTGTCAACATTTTAGTTCCAGAAGATCTTTTTTACAATTGAAATATTTGTATTGATACCATATATATAAATAAAAGTGGGCGTGTTAGTGGTATAAATGTGTTTTTATTTATTTTTGCGTTTTTATTTATTTTTTATTATTAAAGATGTGGGGTACAATTCAGGGTTAGGTATGCAAATGTTTATTATGCAGGTGCCCTTGTTGAGGTGTGCCCCTCGTTTCCCTGGCAGTTTCCTACTACTGCCAATCCCTTTCTTATAGTATTATAATTGTTCAAGGTCCGCTAATGAGTGAGAACATAGGGTACTCTGTTCTTTGTTTCTGTTAGATCACTGAGTATGACAGACTCTAAATCCATCCAAGTTGCTGCGAAGTCCACTGTTATTGGATATGTAAATTAGTACAGCCTTTATGGAAAACAGTATGGAGGTTTCTAAAAAAAAAACCTAAACATTCAACTACTATACTATTCAGCAATCTCACTACTAGGTATTTATCTAAAGGAAATCCACATATCAAAGAGATACCTGCACGTTTGTGTTTATTGCAGCATCATTTATAATAGTCAAGTTATGAAATCAACCTAAATGTCTATTAACAAATGGGTGAAGAAAAAGTTGCATATATACACAACAGAATACTATTCAGCCGTAAAAAAGAATGTAATTGTGTCATTCATGGCAACATGAAGGACACGTTAAGTGAAATAAGACAGGCACAGTAAGACATACTGTATCTTTTCACTCGGAGTTAAAAAATGAGCTCATGGAAGTAGAGAGTATAATTGTGTTTATTAGAGGCAGAGAAGAGGTGGGGAGAATAGGAAGATGTTAGTTAACAAAAATATGCTAAATGGGGGAATAAATTCTAGTGTTCTATAGCACTATAGGGTAAATGTAGTTAACTATTGTATATTTTCAGAAAGCTAGAAGAATTTTGAATGTTCACAACACATGGAAATGATAAATATTTGAGATGATGAATATAATTATCCTGATTTCATCATTGCACATTGTATATGTATTGAAATATGAAATATTCCAATATATATGTACAATTACATGTCAACTAGTGAAAGCGAAAAAAATTGAAACATTTATAGATCATTTCAAAATTCCAGAAGGTCAGGTGTGTACAGGTACTCGAGTTTTCATGAATTAAAATAACAAGATGCCTCTTTATTTGGCTGACAAAAATTAGGGTGAATAGTAGTTGACATCCAAAGAGATGTGAAGACATAGGAACTCTTGTGCACTGCTGGTTGAGTATAGACTGGCACAACCATTTGAGGGCGAAATCTGTGTCTAGTTCAGTTAAGTATATCCCACTCTTAAGTATTCTACCCCAAAGGAATGTATGCCAAGGACCTTAAGGGGGCATATAGGAAGATGCTCATTGCTGTGTTTGTGGTGGCATGAGTTTGAGGCAATCTGGTTACTTATTACGGATAGAGTTACAGTTATTGAATAGCAATTAGAAACAGATGCATCTGAAACAACAAGAATAGGTTCCCCCCCGGGGGGGGGGAGGACTTCAAAATGAAGAACCATGAATAGATCTTAAACATGAGTCTGAATCAGAAAAAATAAGTCACATTTTCATTTGTTAACTTTATTTTCCTTTTTTAGGGTTATCTACTTGGTATCACAAATATAACTTGCCTAAACCAAAACGCATTGATTTTATATTCACTGCCAAAAAAAGCAGCACCAATAAAAACCCTTGCTCCTCTATCAATCTTTCTCATCTCAGTTCATGTCTCTACTGTCCACCCTGTTTCTATTGTTAAAATTACCATACTACTCAAATTTCCTCAAATTATAGGACTCATCTTTGATTCACACCTCTTTCTCTCTTTACACCTTACTCCACTAACACATATCCCATTTCTCAGTAACAAAGCACTGTCCTCTCTGCCTCCAAAATACAGCCTGGTGCCTGGAATTCTGTGTACTGAATCAGTTCCTCACATGATTGTAATGCAGGAGATTTCTGAATCACTCTTTGGGAAACCCTGAGAAACATCCTCTTCTGCTCTCAGCTGAAGAGTAAACTTCCTCTTTGACAAATTGTGGGGCTTTTCCAGAGGGAGAATTAAAGGAGGAGATTTATTTTTGACTTTTTAGAATAAAGGTCATTTTTGTGATTCCATTATTAACAATCAGTGAATCAACAGGTCCTAATTGGTAACACCATCGCAGTTTTATTACCAATAGAGCTGACAGACTGAAAGTTTGTATTTAATAAACATCAGGCAATTCAGAGCCGAGCTCTGGAGCCAATGGTTAATTCCTACGTCCCTTACTTTAGTTGTGTGACCCTAGCTGGTTTGCTTACATCTGAACCTCCAAGTTCTTCACCTACACAGTGAGGATAGCATTATCTAGCTGCAGAGTTGTTAAGAGGATTAAATGTGCTAAGGCACGTAAAGCATGTGGCACAGTGCTTGTGCTTGACAATACTGCTGCTTGTGTGATGATGATAATTGCTGTTGCTGTGACTACCACCCTTCTAGAACTTCTAGTTTTGAGGCCACAGATACTCTGTGCATCCAGCAGAGGGCAATGGAACATCACGATATTTGAGTAGTACACAGCTTACTGGCGATGTCAGATTTACTGCGCATTACTTCTTCCACTTTCTTCTGATCGTTTTTATCTTAGTGGAGGGAGGAGATGGATGATACTGATGAACCTCCTTTATATTTGAGATTTTTTTCCTCCATTTATTGAAGAATGACGATGCATCTGTATCTAAAGTGTTCAGTTGTAATTTGCACTTTCAATGTCCTCACATTTTTATTGTCCTTCACATCTAGTGCATCTCTCCTGAGGGTCCCTCTTTCTGAAATAAGAGGAGTTGACTAATTTGTTATATTTTAGTCCTGTTTCCAAGAGCCTTTGTGTTACTGAGCTGCACCAGGGCTGTCAGGGATGGAGTCGGATGGCTCCAGTTTTCTTCCCACTGCTGTCTGCCAAAGCAAATTGACATTTATCTGTTTGATGTATTGGAGTTTCTCATAAGATTTTATTTTGGGGGAAAAAAGCTATACTTTTAAAAATGAAGGCTCATAAATGCCTTTTATTTAGCCTTTCGTGTTTTTAGCTTGCTGGGAGCTTTGTTGTTGTCATTTTAATATATATAATAGCACTTCTTAACTGAGTTTTTCAAACATTTGGTCAATTCAGCAGTTGCAAAATAGATTATTGTGACTTAACTTTTTATATGAAATGATGAAATATAATAAAACAAGTAAAAATATCACATGCATTGTGTGTAGTAAGAAAAAATTATTTTAAAACCTTTGTTTCAGATATGTGTGTGTATATGTGCTGGGTAGAGAGGTAAAATGAATTTTATATTGTAGGTTGTAATCAAAATTTTGAAAGCGATTTTCTATATATATAGAGAGAGATCTGTTCCTTTCTTTTATCACTGTATTAATCTGCTAGGGCTGCCATAACAAAGTACCACAGACTGAATGGCTCAGCAGAAATTTATTTTCTTACAGTTTTGGAAGCTAGAAGTGCAAGATCAAAGTGTTAGCAGTTGGTTTCTTTGGAGGCCTCTCTCCTTGGTTTGTAGATGGTTTTCTTCATGTTCACATGGTGCCTTCCCTCTATGCATATATATATATATATTTTTTTGAGTTGGAGTCTCACTCTGTCGCCCAGACTGGAGTGCAGTGGCTGCTCCCAGCCACCGCAGCCTCGACCTGCTGGGCTCCAGCGATCCTTCCGCCTCAGCCTTCCGAGTAACCAGAATTACAGGCATGTGCTACCACGCCCGGCTGATTTTTTGATTTATTGTAGAGATGAGGTCTTGCTGCCCAGGCGGGTCTCGAACCATCGGGCTCAGGCAATCCACTCATATGTATATTGTTAAAGAGAAAAATTACTCAATAATATCTGTTAAAGCATGGTAAAGAAGACTTTGTCCAGCACCA